GCCTTACGTTTTGTATTTGATTACTTTTAGAAAAAGATAGTTTTGACTTAAAGAAGAACGTCAACATTTGCTTAGTGTATGCAAAAGATCAGAGTAATGCGGAATAATCACTGAAAGTAACCATGGCTGACTTATCACATAAATCTGAATCTTTAATCGAAGTTTCAATATGTTTTGAAAATAATTGCCACACTTAGAAAACTATCTGCACACTAAGATAAGAGAATCAAAATTAAATATACGGGATCCAGTCTATATTTTGAAAAGATGCAATTCACAACCTTTAAGTTGCTATATAAACGTATTTTACGTAACTTTAACCAAATGAAAAGTAACCCAAGATCAGCATTTAATAATATTATTGATGTGCAGCAGTAATTACAAGATATGGTAATTGACAGTCGGTGTAAGTCAAACAGTAAAACGAGAGTCGCTTTTTCATCTTAATGATTCCGGATTCTTAAGACCTCATCAAATTGGCCCTAATCGGATGCGCCTATTTAATTCGAATTTTATTCCCTTGTCTCTATTTGTGCCGATAACTAGGATTTATACACTCTTTCGGGCATATAAAAGTCGGATAAGACTGAATTTACACATTTGATCTCTTTTCACTTCTAGAATTATCACAGATCATCCGTGGAAGACATCTACATACATTTTAAGAGCTTAACTAATATTCGAAAGTCACCCGAGTTAGCAAATTTATATGTGTGTTAACTATAAACAATAAAAATCTCCACTAAACTTGCACATGCTAATACTGTGTTTAAAAAGATGTTATTTTGATAAATCTGCAAAAACTATAACTTTATAAATCTAAAACGTGGAAGTAGTTCACCAAGTTTTTAGAGAGTTGACAATGTTCAAGTCCTGGAGGCGTCACTTATGTAATTTAAATCGCTGACTTATCACATAAATATTTTCCAACGATATGCGAATCGGCAGTGGGGTCGTGTGGCCGACTGATATAGTAACACCCTCTCTCCAGAGAGGGCTTTGCTAAGTGGGGTATATATACGGTGTTACTTTACGTATTAGTCTGTCCACGCAACAGCCGAAATCACTGCGCGGCCCAACCACAGACGACAGCTCAGTAAGCTACCACTTTTATTACAAAGCAGCAGCTAACGGCGAACGCTTAGCAAAAGCCGGAACAAAATTAGAGCGTATTCCGAATGCGGCTTCGCTCGTCTGCGTCGGATTTTATCTCCGTTTCCCGCAGTCACGTATCAGAATTAGCGCTCCTCGTCACTCTGCCGCGTAATCACGGCTGGTGACTCCCGTTCTCGCATGGAGGCCGAAATAGACGCCCGTGAAGAATGCTCTCGCTTTCGAATTTCCTGTTTAACGTTCCCTTAGAATTTTGCGAGTTGGGGTATCGTTACGTATATCGTATATTTCGATTGTAAACGAGGATAAAAGGTAATCTAGGCTCATAAAAATTGTACGCTGGTTCTCTGTTACGCGTTCTAATGAAACCCGTTTTCGAACGATCAAAACGGCGGCGTGTCTTTTAGTTCAATATGTCAAAGTTGTTACATACGATACACAACTTAATAATCACGATGAATGAAATTTGTGTGGGAGGTTGTTGTACACACTACTTACTTGTGTAAGTCATTGATGGACGGAGCTCCGTAAGCTATGCTACATTTCTGTATAATTATTAATTCACATAATAAGACATAATGTGAAATTGTTTAAACACAGATTCGAAAAAGTGTACTCATTGTCTTTTCCTTAGTGTAACTAACATTAATTAGATATAAATGTTCTGTACTGATATTATTATAGAAATAAATAAATATTAAAAAAAAATATATATGATTGGGGTTTAAAGTCAAAAATTATGCACTATTTAATTTAATTCAATGAAAATTTTATACCTGAATATATAATATGTACGATTTACGTTGGTACATTCATTAACACATTTCCTTTTGCGTAATAGTATCTCAACTCCACACCGTTCCCAGATATCACTTTACTAATTACATTAGTTAAACAAAGATAACACGAGGTGAAATGGAATAAGGAAATGATAGTAGCACAAAAACGAAAGCGAAGGCCGATTTGTGTACTATTCAAAAGATAAATAAAAGATAAATTAACTACACGATAGCTCGTAACGGCTTATCTTGTAACGTTTTTCTTTTATTCTATGATTTTTAAATAAAATGCTTTTTAGCCTTTATCTTCACTCTACGTGTTTTCTTGAACCAATTAAATGAATGAAACGGTAATTAAATTGCGTTTATGCTTATATATTATATGCGTTTAGTATTGTAGTGATATTATTACATAAAGTAAGATTTTCTTTGTATTATTATGTTTGAGGATATAATAGCACCATTGCACACCGTTGTAGCGTTACTCTGGTTTCTTTTTTTTACAAAAGTTATCAAGCAAGCAAGTTCACTTGACGTTAAATGATTACCGCCACCCATGGACACCTACGATACATCAATAAAGATCACAACCGCTCTTAAAACTAAGAACAGTTAAATGCAAAAGTAAAATGTTATACACAGATGCTTTAGAACGTTCGGTTTTCAATAAAGCTTTTATAATTTAAGATGAAAATCGTGTAGACATTTTTATATTCCTTGTTATCTGCCAGACGAAAATTGCTGCGTAGGATTTTTATGAAGGATATAAAATGTTTGCTGTAAAGTTCAGTAAAATATTATAATATTACAAAATTATGTTATACGACAATGAGGCAGACACTGAACTCACTACATCCCAAATCATCTCAGGTGGTAAGTATATCTCCGTAAATTCGGGCAGTAGTTTCTTGTAGAAATGCTCGAAATGAAGTCTACTTGTAACTTATACAGGTCGCTAATATTCGGTCAAGTCTCAATTCATTGTCAATTCTCTCTCATCTATAGAAAACAAATAATTTATATTATTCTTGAAATAAGAGAGGAAGTAAATGCAAACATTTCATTAATAAAAAATTCTTTTACATTTTATCCAACTTTAGTCTGTTTTTGTGCAGAGTACTTTGGATTATATCGCCAATATAATATTATCAGTGCCTTTATTATAAACATCGTTCGTAAAACGAGTAATCGTATCGTATTATTTATATATCACATGAACAAGTATGGTTGGATTTAGTTTGATCTTTTGTGCTTGATTTTTTTTTTAAGCGAAAAGTTGCCAAACAAGCAGACGGTTCACCTGATGTTAAGTGAATACCGTCGCCCATAGACATCTGCTACACCCGAGGGTTTGCAGATGCGTTGACAACCTTTTTGGAAATTGGGCTCCGGCTACCTCACTCACCAGACGAAACGCGAAAGTATTTGTCATACGTCCACTTTACGCCGGTCTTCTGTGAGGTCGTGGTACTTACCCGGATGATGCCTGCCCATTCTTGCAACAGCCGAGGCTGATGCGTGGCTCTACCGCGTGATTTAATTGTAACACGTATTATAAAAACGTAAAGTAGTATAAAACAGCTTCATGAAATTCTGGTCTTTGACACGCGTTGCACACTATTATACCAGTATGATATCAACTCTGAAGAAAGTAGACAAAGGTTGCTAAGTTTGTAATAGTTTAAGGTTAGTTTGACTATTTTTGATGGCGACTACTTTAAGCTAACGTTCAACAGCCGAATATCAAGGCCAAATATGGTGAGCTATGTTTTTATCCGGAAATAAATAATTTTCATAGTATTAATTACTGAGTAATATATTCCCGCTTTCCTCTAAGTGAAATGAACCGCTGTCCAACCTCTTTCAACGATCCGTTAATGGATTGGCACTCCTGACTTTTGTTCCGCACATTGTAATTAATCTTGACGAAAACAAACCGTTGATATTAATTAATTAATTAATATGGAATCGAAGACACACCAGACAGCGGTTCCGCATATTTGATGAATTCCACAGCAATAATTGTCGGCCAAGTCGAGTACAAATCTTTAGTTTAATTAGAAATCGAGGGGGGACGAATTGTTGATTCCCCGACGGCGGTTATAATTAATCTTGCTAACGACCAGATTACAGAGTATTGGTATTTCTCTTAACTCCTTTGGGTACTTGAACTTTCTAGAATTATACGCTTTGATCTCAAACGGGATAAGCTAAAGTAAAGACTATTGTTGAAATTGTTGTTTTATAACTTTTCTTGTATGATAAATATGTATAGTTACAAATATTTAAACAAATACTTCCACCTTGCCACTGGGACCCTACATATTGCTTTTATAGGTTTAATACGTCTAATAGTAAAACGTCCTTGCAACACAGGATAGTGTTATCCTAAAGTGAAGGCAATGTTTAAAAAAAATCATTAAAAAAAAGACATTTTAGACTGGGTTAAATTATTATACTTCCTTTATAATTTTACTACAGTACCAAAAAATGTTCCCTACCGTACAGTAAGTAATGTTTAGGACTGTATTACATAGAATCTAGCTTTGTGCGAGTCTCGATTTCGATACAGCTAAATAAGTTTTAGGTAAAAGAGTGCGAATTATAAGATAATAGATTTGAAAATTTTGGCTAAAACATTATTTATTGGAACTAAATCGCTGCATACCATATAATATTCAAAAACTCGTAAACATAGAAAAGAGCGTGAGAAAACATCTGTATCGTATCATCTAACTATCGACATCATTATTTATATAGTAATTTATGTTAATAATCGTTTAAAATTTACATTCGCAAAGTTAACACTCACTAATCGGGCGTTATATCAATTTATGTAAGCTTTGGCATTGTGTGTAATACGGCATTATTCAAATGATCGGATTGTTGTTTCATTGCCCAATTTTCACTATGAGTACCTAAGAGTTTGCAACGAGCCTAGGTAGGAGTCTTGCGAAGGTGAAGCATTCAATTATACTCGATGCTTACCTACGCGTCACCTTCTAACACGTTCATCGTAATAATAATATTTCGGAAGTAATGTTTCTGGAGTAATACGATCCACTCTATAACAAATAAAAACACAAAAGTCTTTTAACATAGACAGAGATGGCTAAATTGCTCAGGTAAGTGAAAACTGCATAAATTAGTGAATAAGTGGTACTGATATCCGAGCCTACGGTATAAATCACAAGTCCAACTCATCCACGGTAACATACTTTTATTAGTAAACTGTTGCCACTGCAAGTCATTAAGAAAAGTTACAACTTCTGTTTCTGTTAATACTTAATGGCGACATCAATTTGGTCTTCCTTTTATGATAAAAAAGAATTCTGGCTCATCTCTTAAATAATCTACAAGCAAACATATGTTTTACATCTGTTGAGAAAGTGTAATAAAGAAGCTTTACTTCCGGGTAATTTCTAAATGATTATTTTCTGTTTTAGTTCTTTACTTTTTCACACAGAAGAGTTTTTGGATCAATCCAGAGTAAAACTTATTTGAGCTGTACCGAAACCTTGAGCATAACGCCATCTGTTGGCGACATAAACCACCATACATAAGACCACCATGAGCTTTGAAGAGTCTTTAATTGAATATGTTGACTATTGTTTACTATCTACTATTGTTTATTATATTGTGATTGTTGTGTTTAACAAAAAATAAGTTTTTAAAATAAGCTACGTTAAATGGCCGACTCAATCACTCCTGGAATTCGACCTCAAAAATAAACTAATTGTTTAAGCGAATTTAAATAGCTTATAATTTGCGCAACAAGATTCAAACAAATAACGCTTAAACGTTCCCAGACTGTTGTCAAGAGAAATAATAATGTCACTCGATAATTTTGCGTATTCTTTGGCGGCCACGCAACGCAATTTATCGAAACAAAATGATTTTAACAACAAAATTTAAATGCCTTCAGGCTATGATCACACCATTTTCTGTAATCCTTGGTTAGTTTGGAAATAAAACATGAAACAATAAATGAGTTAAACATGTACAATTTTTGATGATAATCGCTTCAGTTTCTTCAGTCTTTTATCTGTCAAAGACTTCGTAACCGTGTTTATTTTATTGTTAATTAGCCATCCGCCCTGGCATCGCACGGGTGCAATGCATTATACATATAAATCTTCCTCTTGTATCACTCTATTTAGTAATAAGACCGCATCAAGATCCGTTGCGTAATTTTAAAGATCTAGGCATACACAAGGACAGACAGACAGCGGGACGACTTTGTTCTATACTATGTTATAACAACACATTTAATTAGATATTTGTTAACAATATATTTAATTACTTATGGATACAAAAAATACCTTGCCGCAGTACATTAATTTACCTATTATGAAACCTTACTTTCATTGGCTATACAACATTCTTCGCTGTCGCTTGAATGGGCAGGTCTGTGCGCGTAAGTACCACCACCTCACAGAAGACCGGCGTGTTATACTTCTGCGTTACTTCTGGCGTGTGAGGTAGCCGGGGCCCACTTTGTCATAATGTGGCAACGCATATGCAACCCTACGGGTGTTGTAAAGTCAATGGGCGACGACTATCACTTCACGTCAGGTGAACCGCCAGCTAGCTTGCGAAGATGGCACACAAAAAAAGGATTTATTTAAAATATGTGACAGCGCCTAAGCGCTCTAACTGTACAAATGTTCCGAACCAATATTGTATATTTTTTTTAGATTTATTATTATGTATAACTGGATAAAGGATAAACTTTACTAATATAATTTTATGATAACTACCAATCATATGTTTGGATTACGAGCTTTAGCACCATCGCTTGTTAAAGTTAGTTATAAACGCATTTTATTGCAAAAATGTGATTTCTACTCGTATATATTGTTCCAATATGCCAAACAAGCAAAAAGCTTCATATATAAAAAGATGAAAGATCCTTTCACAACTTGCCGTCGCTCTTTGACGAAAGTTATATTACCTATTAAGCAAATATTTACACAGAAATCAATTGAACCAACGTCTATATCACGAATAACAAGGCATAATAAACATTCATCGATTTCGCTACCTTGACATTTGTATGATGTACAAGAAATACTATTACGCAAAACGTGGCACTTACTCTGGGGAACACACCCACGTATCCAAGCTATTGCTTATAAATGAATTCTAGCATGAATACGCATTTACTATTCAATGGTGGTTTAATAAACTTACTGGTAACGATTTTGCTGGGGCCGTAGTGACAACGCTCACGTTTCTACAAACTTATTCATACGACGCCCGAAAGAACACCAATAAAACTCCAATATTCGTATCAATTAAAACCCTCTTCAGTGTAACGTTTACGAGGACGATCCGAATTGCAAATTTGCGCATTTTTTTCTTTCGATCACAGCATACGTTTTAGGTCAACGTAATTGGAAAATCGGAAGCTATTTTTTTTTTTGTATATACACGCCAGAAATTTGATTTACTATTTCTCCTTTAACAAAAGAGTTTAAAAATGTAAGATAAATAATGATTATATTATAATTTTTTGTTATATTAAAATATTTTGTAATGAAAAAATATTATGAAATATAATAGAGAATACACTATTGTGGAATAGTTAGTTTTACATTTAAACATAGTCGCGATATTGTGTGTATTATAATTGTGCAGCAACGGTCTTTATTCATGTATTTTGTAGCTAAATTTGACTTTTTATTCAAGTTAGTTTTAACCATACCAGAAAGAAGGCTATAAATTTCTACAAAGTCATATACTAAAATTAATGTTATTTCCTGAGTGACAAAATTTATTCGATATTATTTTCTTAAATTTACAAAACACTACAAATTACTAAACTGAAATATTCTTATGGACATATTACCTGTTTTTTTTAGTATTTAAAATAGTCTCGATAAATCCGCACAAAATCCCTAAAAGGCTCTCATATAATAAGATTTTCGATCTTAGTTATTCATTTTATGAATAAATCCATCTTTTCCATTACAGGCTCCTTTGGTGGACTCTACTGTGTTACTCCGCGACGTGTTCAGCCAACGACGGATTATTTGGTTCTAAATTTCCAAACGGTAAGAGGAACATATTTCAATTTCTATACCAATTTTGATAAACAAAGAGACTGTCTCTACATTCTTTGCCCCCTTTGATTCAAGATTATTCTAATTAATTTGCTTGTTTTATTATTTACAAGAATTCATAAAACAAGACTTACGAGTATTAGAAATATGTAAACTGGAGAATAATTACCCATTGTAAATATTATATTTATTATTATAAATATTCAAATCGTCTGGTGAGTGAGGTGGCCGGAGCCCAATTCCCATAAAGGTTGTCAACGCATCTGCAACCCTCGGGTGTAGCAGATGTCCATGGGCGGCGGTATTCACTTAACATCAGGTGAACCGTCTGTTCGTTTGGCCACCTTTCACATAAAAAAAAAAAAAAAATGCTTATGTCCAGAGATCTTATCAAGCACAATCTGTTTCCACCCTTACTGGAACTTGTTTTTAGAATAGCAATCTCCGAGCACAGTTATTTACTTACAAGTCGTGCTAGCGTTATCTGCTAACGACATGGATTCAAAGAAAAGATTGAAATTGATTCAAGTTAAATTTATGACGTAACTTCAGCAAATAGTCTTATTTGATACTATTTACATTCATATCTATTAATTAAATATATAAAATTCTCGTGTCTCGGTTTGTAATTGAACTCCTCCGAAACGGCTTGACTGGCTCCGACCGGCCAGGGTGGAGAATCGGACAACATCTATTTTTAATTCCCCTAAATGTTAGGGGTGGTCCGCCCCAAACATTTTTTTCTACCCTACAAATAATTTATATGGCAAAACAACGTTTGCCGGGTCAGCTAGTTTCACTGTAATATGGTTAGTAAGTATTTTATAAGTAAGTTTCTGTAAGTAACAAGTAGTTAAATTTAATGTTATACATGATTGCTAACGGTGCGTTCATTTAACGTAAATGCTAAGCATCTTATGTTAAGCATCCTATTTGTCTAATCGTCGACAGCATCCATCCCATTAGACCATGTAGGATACAGAAATATATTTACCTTAGAGCTCCATTAATGTTGTAAATGTTTCAATTTAGAGTTCTTTACAATTAAGTATATAACTCTGAAAAAATTAATTGATATCTTTTTTATCCTCCTGTAACCGTTACAGGAAGCTTATTGAACGGTATTGTCCAAAAAAGAGTTATATCCACCGAATAAATTCTGTTAAAACGTCAATCATAATATTTTCCCTCTGAAATTCTTCTTTGAAGTGATATTCGCAAATTTATGGAAGAGCTACAATAATTTTAATATTTTCTTCGATCATAAAAATACAACGTTCAAATTTTAAATGCATCTGAGGTTTACATGATATTCAATAAAAATTGAATATTGAAAATGTATAGTAAAATGTGTAATACCTAGGTAACGTATATGAACCGAGCGCTGTTGAATTCCAGACATTCCCGAATACGACTTACTACGAGCGATTGGCGTGCCGTTCAGCAATCCGAAAACTCAGTACTTCGACGAGGGCCTCGACGGATTCCCCGCTTACGGCCTCAAGCCGGGCTCCGACATCAAGTCGCCGTACCGTCTCTTCATGCCCGAGAAGTTGTACGCCGAATTCTCGATTACCGCCACCGTTCGCCCGGCGAACAAAGATGGCGGGTTCCTCTTCTCCGTCGTCAACCCCTTGGAGACCGTCGTCCAGCTGGGTGTCCAGCTCATCCCCTCCGGCCCAGGGCTCACCAACATCTCGCTGCTGTACACCGACGCGAACGCGTACGCTCTATCGCAGACCATTGCGTCCTTCGTGGTGCCGTCGTTCGCGAAGAAATGGAGCCGCTTCGCCTTGAAGGTCACCACGTACAACGTGACGCTCTTCCTGAACTGTCACGAGTTCGACACGGTGATGATGAGGAGGAATCCACTCGAATTGGTATTCGATTCGGCCTCAACGCTGTACGTGGGTCAGGCTGGACCACTGATCCGCGGTGCCTTCCATGTAAGTATCTCTTATAATTCTTTCATGTGATAGTTAAAGCAAATAATTTTTAGAGAATTAGGTATTCCGTATTTACTTTTTCAAAGAAAAATAGTCTTATTTTCCATTAAAGTTTACAGAAATTCGAAAGGAGTTCATGATAATCTTTGTCAAATAAAAAAAAATAAGATTTATTTTATATGATTTATTCTATGTTAATGAATAGTAAAAATTTCTTATTGTAATCATTGTGCATATCTTAATTATTTTCTGTTTTTATTGATATTTTGTAGTAGTTTAATAACACGATTGGCAATTTATCGACATATTAGAAATACGAATTTATTCAGTAGTAATAACTAAGTAAATAATAATAATACGTATTAAGTAAGTAGTAATACATATTTCAAAATAATAGTTAACAATCAACTAAACAGTTAAAGTGATTGTACGGATATTGAATTCTCGCTATCGGCTCCAGACATTGCAAAACAAACTTATCTATCAGAAAGTTATCGAAAATTATTATCTATTTCTGAGTAGTGATAATTATTATTCGGTTTAATTATTGAGTTCGTACTAAATATGTTATTCAGTATCTATATACATTTAGATAAAGAGAGATACAATCAATGGAGTTTTCTCTGTTATGGCATGACGCCTTATCCACCACAATATATGATCGTAGCGCCAAAAAGCTTTGAAAACGAGGACATCAACGCCATTTCGAGGACATTTGTGTATTTTGTGGACATCGACACACACATACGAAAAGTTCGCCAAGTCCGAATCCCGTCGTACCGCTCCTAACCACTATACTGCCTGCGCGGTGATATTAAATTCTTCGCCCACTGCGGCGACGCAAAAAAGTCACACCGGGTGTACCACAAATCTGAAATACAGAAAAATGTAGAGTTAAATTATAATATTTTCAGCATGCATTTTATTATGAAGTTATACTGTTTATAGCATTTAGGTGCAATTAAATTGGCTTACTAACTTCAAAGGTTGTTTCACACGATTTTTGACCAATCTTTTTTGGTATAAATTTAGTATTGGGTCCATTCATACCTTTGTTGTTCTAGAAGAACCAGGATTTCTACCTGGCTTTCAAACCAGCTTCCTGAACTATTCTACGGACAATTCAAGAAGAAAATGTTCTATTAATTTCTAATTATAAATCAGGAGCGAGATTTGAATAAGTTTTTTCCTATTATTAAAGACTTAACGGTTACTAACTTTCGATCCACACGATCCGTTACGGTACGATAGTATTTAGGTCGCTACTGGGCTTATTTTTAGGGTTTCGTACCGATAGATAAAATGGGACCCTATTACAAAGATTCCGCTGTCTGTCTATTTGTCTATTTGTCTGTCTTTCTGTCAGTCTGTCACCAGGGTATATCTCATGAACCGTGATAGTTAGACAGTTGAAATGGTCACAAATGGTGTATTTTTGTTGCCGCTATAACAAAAATCGTAAAAAAACAGAATAAAAAATATTTAAGTTGGGCTCCCATACAACCTAATGATGTTTTGCCATTTTTGTAGAACCCTACGTACGCGAGTCCAACTCGCACTTGGCTGCTTTTTATATGATCTAGTATTAGCGAATCGTTGATTAGAATATTGTAAAGATTGGAGCAAACATATCATAGTTTTCGAAAACTCTGCTTGTGATTTCCCTTTCTCTGAAATTTAGCTAAAAAAACGAACTGAGTTTAGAGAAGCGTTCTCCAAACCTAGCTTGTTTCTTTTGAGCATCAAATATCACAGCAATCACCAAATCCAATAAACCTATGCACTAATAGTGCAATAGATGATCAGATGTACGTACAACGAGTGAAAATAACAAAATCATAAACAAATTCTACTTCTTTAGCGTAACAAAAAATATTTCAAAGTTTTATTCCCTGTACTTGGTTGCCATGGTAATACTGTAGCCGAGATTGGTCGCTTTTCATCCAATTTTTTGGCTGTCACTGTGCGCGTGCCTCATAAAAAATTGACTCTCATATTTTTTTACCAAACACGCCAAAAGAAGCATAACTTCAAAATTGGTAAAAAAAGAAATTTTATTGCGCCCGATGTTTCATTAAAATTGGTAATTGTTAATGTTGATAACTGTGGTTGGGCCGCGCAAATGTCTTCGCTGTTGCTCGAATGGGCAGGTCCGTCCGGGGAAGTACAACGACCTCAAAGAATACTGCGCGAAATGGAAATATGAAACTTGTGCGTTTTATCTGACAGGTGAAGTAGCCGGAGCCCACTTTATTAAAAAGTGGTAACGTGTCTGCAACCCTACGGGAGTTGCAAATGTCCACGGGCAGCGGTTATCACTTAACATCCGATGAGTCGTCAGCTTGAGTGCCACCTTCTCGCATTAAAAAAAACAGTATTTAATGAATTATTAGGGCCCGAGTAGTTAATCCTTAAACGATATGCTTTATTTTATGTTCCTCATTTTATACACGTCCTACGCTCAAGCAAGTTGACGTTTTTCTGCAAGTACATGCATTTTCCCATATCTGAGGTATGTATAATAGAATGTATGTCAAAAAGTATGTACATTCAAAGCATAATTATGTATATTTTTTGTCAATGTTCAATGTTCAAAAATGTTCGTATGCCAGTTTTACACATTTCGGTTAATTAATAGACACCAATGTAGGTATGATTATGTTCTCCAGTAATGACAAAAATAAACAAGTTGTTTAATTTTAATATATTAAAAACTTTAAAAGTATAAAAAGGGCATCGAGCGCCATCTATTGACAATTTTTGGTAATTTATATTTTGTGTTTTTTTTTAATGGGAAAAGAAGGCAAACGAGCATGCGGGTCGCCTGTTAGTGATCACCGCTACCCAACATTGGATACCGGACATTTGCAACATCGGATGAGTCGCAATTATGTTGATTAAAATATTTCATAGACATTGATTCTCTCTATGATTTATTGTTTTTGTGCGTATTTTGTATACTGTCAAATGAAACGATTTTACGGGTTTTATCACGTATATATCTTTTAAATTTCCGACGTTTCAAGCCCTTTTCAGTGTTTATTCACGGGGCAGATCTCTAAATAAGTCATCATCATTACATCGTACGATCCTGAGCCACCTGCATCCATCGACTTCCCGCACATTTACACAGATCGTCACTCCATCTAGTGGGGGGTCGTCCTACACTGCGATGGCCAGTACGAGGCTGCCACTCGAGAACCTTTCTTCCCCAGCGGTTATCGGTTTTACGAGCTATATGGTCGGCCCATCGCCACTTCAGCTTGCTAATCCTCTGAGCTATATCGGTTATCTTAGTTCTACTGCGGATGTCTTCGTTACGAACTCTATCACGCAGAGAAAAACCGAGCATAGCCCGCTCCATAGCTCGCTATGGCGGTGGCTTAGGATCGTACTTCATGGCAGTCTGTGGGAGGCCTATGTTCAGCAGTGGACTCAAACAGGCTGAAATGATGATGATGATGATTACATCGTATAAAATAAAGTCGTCCCACTGTCTGTCCCTATGTATGCTTAGATCTTTAAAACTACGCAACGGATCTTGATGCGGTTCTTTTTACTAGATAGAGTGATTCAAGAGGGAGGTTTATATGTATAATAGATGGCGCCCGTGCGAAGCTGGGTCGGGTCGCTAATATTTTATAAAGTAGAATGAAGCTTCACGGTATTGACGTGAAAACATCTTCGTTGTGCAACTTTGGATGGAAAAAAATTGAAGTTCGCTTCACCGACATTAGTATGTCACATGTTTTGTCATTGACGTTGGTGACAAAGTTTTGATGTAATTTAGTTTTCCAGTATTTGATATCTATAATACATATATTATTTAACACGCTCAATGCAAATCACGCGATATCACTTGATAGGTGGCGGTCTCTGTATGGCCGTTCGCGCGATATCGCCTGATATGTAATAAGAGTATGTAACATCTTATTTACTTAATATAAAAGTATGTAAATGAGATAATGAGTTATATTGAGAAAAATAAGCAATAAATAGAAAAAAAATATTGCCCATCTCACTTTTTCCGCATGACTATGAACATTTTAAAAAATTGGTACCATAAGTCATTAGAAAATTAAAAAAGAACCACACAACAAGTTTTTCAGGTTTTGAGTTTTTTTTTAATAATAAAATCATAACGAGTTCTAATGTTTTTGAACATAAAGTATTTAAAATAATGGGGTAAAAATAACCCTCATTCTTTGAATTACGTAACAAAACGTTAAACACAACAAACTACTAACTCGAACACAGACACCATCAATCATAGGGGCGTTTGTAATACAAATATTCCTTTATTTCCGGCTTATTGTGATGTAGTCGCATAAGCCCAGTATCCATTTGTTTATAATAACGACATTAATATGAAAGGATTAGACGTATTATTTCACGAATTTCTGTGCATTTCTCCACTTCCTTTGTTCTTTTATTTCTTACAACTCGTTTAAAGTACAAGATTTAAACAGCATATACAAGATCAATGAACTTTATCATGTTTTACCCTAATTTTAGTTTTCTTCTTGCATCTTACACTAGTTTATCTCGTGCTTATATTAATCACAACGACGTAAGTTTTTGACATAAGAGACGAATGTTGATTACCTACCTTAAACATGTATAAGTTTTATTTCCTAATGTAAATTATGAAAGAAACTTAAATTCCAAAATTAGTTTCAGACGCAGTTGATAGAAAATTAGAATCGTTCAAAAGACACTTAAATAACACACGCTGATGGTCTATACGGCATGACCGAACCCTTTACTTCTATTATTGCTCCTCCAAGTACGTTGAAAATTAATACACGCTTTGCGAATTTAATGAAATATTGGTAACAATTTCGTTGAATGAACCATGTGACAACGTGACATCTAAAAGCGGGGGCTGAATTCCTTTCAAAGCTTTGATATTTTATCCTCAACTTTTTAATTGGTTTTTACGCTTTTGCTGTATTTTTTTTAAATACCTAATAAAAATTATTTTGACAAAATTCTTTAGC